GCAAATGATGACCATTAGAAAACATGACTCATGTGTTAGGCAAATGATTCTGGTATTCTTCTTAATTCCTGATAGTCAGAGCTCAATTCTCACACGTAGAGGTGGCAGGTGAGGACAAAGAACTGCTCACCCTCTATTGCCGATGGTGCAGGACACAGGGATGGCAAAGGCCTTCCAACAACCTTCCTCTCCATCCTACATCTCAACATAAGTCGAGGTTCAAAGAGGATAAACTATTACCATATGGAATGTGATTTTAACTGTGTCATCAGTCACATAAATACATACATGGTAAGGAACAAGTCACAATCTATTTTGTGACAGTAGAAACTATAGAGTTTGCATCTGGAAGCAGTATGACAGAGGAACGAAGAGTGGCATGTGGTGGAGTAATCCTGGTTTGTCAGGCAAGGAGATGCCCCCTCTGGTTGAGATACCCAGGTTGCACCTTTGATGGGGGGGCAGCATTAGGAAGAGTGTATGGGGGCAGTTCAGGGGTGGAATCTGCACTGAGCAGCTGCTGTGTGTCAGCTGTTCTCTTAGGAGCTTCCTACGGGTATCAGTCTTATTGAGAGAACATGCTGGGATTACAGCATACCCTCTCAACCACTCCAGCATGTAGAAAGCAGCTTTCCCAAGTTATAGATGAGGAAACTGAGCTTACCTGACACCCAAAGTCACACAGCCTACATATGGGGGAGATGGAATTTGAACCCCAATTTTCTGATTCCAAACGGAAGGTGCAATACTCCCTATTCACAGAGGAAAAGTCAAAAAAGACCAGGCCTGACTTTCCAAAAGGGCTAAGCCTGGCCATTGAGTCTAGACAGCTTCAGAGAACAGGAAGTTGGAAATTGCTGGCCTGATCACTTAGCACTGAACTGGGCAGGCATATTTAGAAATGAAGGCATGGTTGCAGCCATGAGGCTTTGTTCTGGGCTCTGATGTAGACTGAGATCTAGGTTCCAGTCCCAGCTGGAACAAGGAGAGACAAGTCCTGTTTCAAGAAGGTGACTGGGCTCTATGCACTCCCAAGGAGTTTTAACAGAGATTCTTTAAAACAAGTCAACTCTTTTCTTCCCATACTGAATACCTTCGCACTTGTCCAGGCCCTTCCATCCAAAAAGGCTCCATGCCTTCCCAGGGGCCGAGTGGCTGCAGAGAGAGGGGAAAGAACTGCCAGGCTGAGAGTCAGAACTTCTGGACCCAAACCTATTTCAGCCACTATGAGATCTTGGGCAAGTCAATTCTTCCCCAAATATTGAGGCTTCTTCATCTAATGGAGGAAAGGACTCAGTGGTTCTAATCCAAGAAGGACACAGTGGGATCTCTGAGGACATCATGTTAAAAAAATCTTTAATTTAAATTTATTATTTTTTTTGTAGAGATGAGGTTTGCTATGTTGCCCAGGCTGGTCTCAAACTCCTGGCTTCGAGCAATCCTCCCGCCTCGGCCTCCCAAAGTGCTGGAATTACAGGAGTGAGCCACTATGCTTGGCCTTTGAGGTCTCACCCAGTTGCCTGGACTGGTTTCGAACCCTTGGGGGCTCAGGCAATCCACTGGCCTCGGCCTCCCAAAGTGCTGGGATTACAGGCTGAGTCACTGAGCCCGGCCCATCTTTATGATTCTTCTGGGCTCTAATCAGCACTTTCTGACCTTACCCCTCTCACTCACTACTTGCTCCCCGAAAAGTAAGTAGAGTCAGGTAAAATATGAAATTCAACCTATTATCAACACCTTGCAACTAGTGTTTTGATTCTGCAGTCCCCAGTTCTCTCCTGGAATTCTCAGGTTTGGGGCTGTCCTGTGCCAGGTTCGCTAGTGTGGATAGTCTTAGACACATGCTAACATGCTACCTGGGAATCTCCCGGAGCCGGTCATTAACAAATGAGGCAAATGCCTCAAGGATTTATTACACATTTCTAGTTACTCACCTAAATGCTCTAGCTGTATAAAGTACTGCTTGTACCATGGCATAAAATAAAGACACAGGCCGGGCATGGTGGCTCACACCTGTAATCCCAGCTCTTTGGGAGGCTGAGGTGGGAGAATTGCTTGTGCCCAGAAGTTTGAAATCAGCCTGGGCAACATACTGAGACCTTGTCTCTACAAAAAAGAAAAAAAAAAAAAAATAGCTGGGTGTAGTGGCACGTTCCTGTAGTCCTAGCTACTTGGGAGACTGAGGTGGGAGGATTACTTTAGTCCAGGAATTCGAGGCTGTGGTGAACCGTGATCATGCCACTGTACTCAGCCTGGGTGACAGAGTGAGACAACCGACTCAAAAAAAAAAAAAAAAAAAAAAGTCAAAGAATCACAAGATAATTATTTGGTTTCCCTGCCGGTTAAATTTACCACCACCCACGTATTAGATGGTAAAAAATTGGAATTGTTTTCCTTTTCTCACCCACATCCGGCTCTATACCAGATGCAAATACATTTCCTGTTCCTTCCAAGGCCATAACAATTTGGTGCCTGATAGAAATCTTGTGAAATCTTGCCTGATTTAAATTTGGTCTCTATCTTCTATGGAAATTCCCCTTCAGGCTGATGGCTGACAGAGAGCCAGGCATTCAGAAGAATCACGCAGGGAAGAATGTTTGCTCTAAAAAGGCAAACCTTCCTACTCAGAAAAGATTTTCTTTTTTCCTGCCAGGAATGTTTTGTAGAGAACAACAGAAGACAGAACTTCATCTCAGTTCATGGATTGAAAAGGCAAAGTCACAGGAAGGAGGGAGAAGAGGCATTGTGGGATTTCCATGTGCATCCATTTTTCCTTGGGAGTACTAAAAAAAACCCAGCCTCTTCCCAAGAACTCTTGACAATGAAAATATCACCACAGTGCTCAAAATGGAGCAGTAGGTAATGGAAGTGGTATTTTGGGAGAGAGAAGAGATGACTCAGAATCCAACAACGGGAAGTTTAGCAAGGTCTTCCTGGATCCCACAGCTTAGTCCCCCAACAGGAAGCAATATGCCCAGCGATCTTGTTCATCTACACAAGGGAATCCACATGTAGAAAACCTGCTCATTATTTCCATTAGCTTTTACCTGTTAACTCTGTGGTCTACCAGGATATTCTAAACCTCTTGTGTTGGGCACGTATTTCATTCTGTACAACCTTTTAACCAGAACTATGACAACAAACAGTGAGCTCTTTCTCTCTTTCACTTCCCAGGCGAAGGTCTGAACTAGAAGTTAAATGACCAGAAAGCAGGAAGGAAAAGGGAAAAGTCAACTCCAAACACCTGCCAGGAAAGCTGACTCTAAGTAGTGAATGACCCAGCGTCACTGAATTCTGTTTCTGTTATTAAAATTTGTGCTTGGAGAACTTCTCTTTGTGAACAGAATCCCAAAGGTCAATGACAGTTCTTTCCCGCACTGAATATGGAAGGCCCAAACCCTCACCATCAAGAATTCATATTCACCCTGGACTCACTGATGCTCTCATCTCTTGTTTGCCAAAAATAGGAGCAGGGCTGAGATCTTATTGAGTTCCTTAAGGATTTATTTTCTATATGAACCTTTCCCAACCAGGGTCTTTTAAAAGTAGGCTTTGCAGTGACTCCACTACTAGGGATCTACCCAAAGGAAATCATTATATAAAAAAGATGCTCATATGTTCATTATAGCACTATTCACAATAGCAAAACGTTAGAACCAACTCAAATGCCCACTGTTAATTGAGTGCATAAAGACAATGGGATGTGTACACACACTATGGAATACTATGCAGCCATAAAAAAAGAATGAAAACATGTCCTTTGCAGCAACATGGATGGAGCTGGAGATCATCATCCTGAGTGAACGGACTCAGAAAGAGAAAACCAAACACCACATGTTCTCACTCATTTGTGGGAGTTAAACGGTCACAAAGATGGAAATGGGAGACACTGGGGACACCGATAAGGCGGGGAGTAGGACAGGGAGGCTGGAGTTCAGAAATGACCTACGGGGCACAATGTTCACCATCTGGGTAATGGGCCACCTGAGACCCAATCCCTGCTGTTACACAACATGTTCATGTACCGATCATGCATGTGGATGCCCTGAGTCTAAAATTAAAATGGAAAAAGAAGAGTGGGCTTTGGCCTGATCCATCCTCACATTTTGATGTGGGGTGTCTCCACTGCTATGAGAGAATAAGCCAAAGATCCTTTCTAAGCACATCGTTTTCATGAATGTATCACTTTTGTAAATGACTCTTCCAAGAGAGGGTACTTCTCCCTCGAGAGAAGGGGAATTCCATGGAAGGGGATGCCGACAGGTAGCCCCATGGAACAGATCCTTGGCAAAAGCAGTTCATGCGTTGCTGTCTCCTCTCTCCATTCCACTCGGAGCTGAGTGTGGGTGTCAAACAAAGGATGCCCCACCCCCGCCACAGGAACAACAATAAAAGGCAGGAATATCCCAAGGCCACACTCTCACCCCAGCCTCTCCCATACTCCCACATGGAAGCCTCGGGGCTCACCCCACCATTCTGTGCCTTTGAACCCTGCATGCCAACTGCACTTGATGGAGGAGAAAGGGGACAGGAAGAGAGTGAAAGAGAAGTTCCTATGTCTTGGCTATTTGGATATGATCTCTTCAAGTTACTCAAACAGCTTGTTTTTAAAGGGTCAGTGCTTACACACAGAGCAGTGATTGGCAAGGCAGATGAGGTTTCGGAAAGGGCTAAGAAACATAAAAATAGTCCTGGCTTCAGGGTGGGAATCCAAGTCCTGTCGAGGGCACTCCAGACTATTTTTCCTTTGGCCAATTCTAGCAGGAAACCTTCGCATCATGATGGCATCCTAAAGAACAACGCTATCACAATAAGAACGAACCGCAGAAGAGTTTTCCAGAGGAGCCTGCAAGCCAAGACAGGCGTGATCTTGGGTCTACCACAATCCTGACACCTTGGCTCAGGGACTTTCTTTGCCCTCAGATTCCAGCTCCAAGTGTCCCAGTCCCCCCGTTTCCCTTACCCTCAAAGGAGGGCCATCCCACAGGTGGCTGACTCACCGTTGTCTCTTCTGGGTTCCCATGAGCTATTTCCACCACCCTTAGGGCAGGATCCACCTTCACCTTGGCTCGGGCCACGAACTGGATGACGGATGAACTGTCCTGCGGAGGAAGCAACATAACCTGCTGTGTGATTTTCCAATCGTCATGGCTGGGCCTTGAGAGGGACCAGGCAGAACTGGAATTCCAAGATTCCATTTTGCCCAGACAAACATTTTTATTACTGAACTAGATACCTCTCCAAATCCCAGGCACTCTCATCAGCACAGACTCCCAGCATCTATCTTGAGAATTCTTTCAGACCACAGTAGATGCTGAAAAACTGTGGCATTTTCCAGTAATCAACACATAAAGGTATGTGTGCTGTGGCTGCCAAGCAATAAGAGCCAGATATCTGGATGTAGATATTGACATGTCCACAAAGAGCTGAGGATAAATAAAGCTGCTTGATTGTGTACAAGTCCAGGTCTGGCATTCCGCAGAAGGCATTGGATCTACATTTTATATGCCCTGATCATAACCCTCAAACCCTTCTCATGAGTTACTTTAACTCTTTGTTTGCTCTTGAGTGAAGTTGTTTTGGGGCCAAAGTCATTTACCACTGAAACATCTGGCTTGTAAATTAAGTCAAAGGAGAAAGGGGACTGGGGGAGGAGGGGCACATCGAAGACTCAGGAATTGCCCACTAGCCAGAGGCAGTCGGAAGCCTTGCTGCGAGTTCCAATTCCAAGTCGCTGACCCACATAATGAGAAAATGGCCCCAAAGCAAGGGTAGGGGGAGAAGAAATCCTGTAGGTTGATCTTGGAGGGGTGAGGGGAGCAGCCTGGCTTCTGTGGCGGAAACAGAGGGCAGAGAACTGGCACAACTAGCACTCCACCCGTGGGGGTAGGAGATCTGCTAACAAAGTGTCTTGTGGTGCCCCCACCAAGCTACACAGCATGCTTGTCATGCAAGGAGTTCCCACTCGGGTGCCTACTTTGGCTAAAGCTACAAAGAAACGGGAAAAGGGAGGACTCTGTAGAAAAGAGTTTCAAGGGAGCCCTTGCTCAACTCCAAGAAACCACAGACACCTTCCTGGGATGGCATGGAAAGACCCCAGCTGTGCTCTCTACCTGAGAGTTACACACAAATTATTGTTCTTTTTTTTTTTTGAGTTGGGGTCTCACTCTGTCATGGCCACTGCAGCCTTGACCTGCTAGGCTAAGGTGATCCTTCCGCCTCAGTCTTCCAAGTAGCTGGAACTACGGGCGCACACTACCACACCCAGCTTATTATTATTATTATTATTAGATTTGATCTATTGTAGAGACTAGGTCTCATCAAGTTGCCCAAGCTGGTCTTGAACCCCTGAGCTCAGGCAATCCTCTCGCCTCAGCCTCCCAAAGTTCTGGGATTACAGGCTTGAGCCACTGCACCCAGCTGTTCTTTCCTTAAACAACCATAGAATATGTTTCAAATGCTTCCAGGAAGCTCATCATCCAAAGGAATAGCTCCAGAGAACTCATTTTAAGCAGTAAATAATCTCGCATGCAAATATTCTTCAACCAAATCAACAGTTTTGTAAATTTGTGGTTTTGTGTGTCAGAGGACACTGTATTTTCAATCTTGGATGGAAGTAATCATCTTAGATACAAATCATGATAATAATAATAGCGATGCTGTAATTGTCACAGTTATGAGATGAGTGCATGAGGCACTCGGCACAGGATGGGCCCTTGTGAGTGTACACTCAGTGGAGAAAACCTCATGGACTGGAAGAAAGACACTTCCAAAGAAATCTGAATCCTCTGGTGACTTAAAAAATCAGATCCTACATTTCAAATGAAAACTTGTTAAGGTCAAAACAATAAAACCTCAAATTCCCTTGTCAGGGCCAGACCTTGAGGTCAAAAGGAAAATAAACACAACTGTAGGCCCTAGCAAGCCACAAGGCTGGCTCTGCTCCACATCCTCCAGGAGGCCTGGAGCCATTGAACTTGACTCCCCAAGGAGGCTGTGGCTGGCTTCGGGGGGACCAATGCTCCAGCAGCAGTGGGGTTCCATCTGGTTTCCAGGTCAGCTTCATTCTAGGCTTTCCTCGACACTTGGAATTGCTGCTGGTTTCTGCTGAAAGGGGACTCGGAGAACAATCCTCCAAGGTCCTGTATGATACCCCACAGCATTAATTCTTTTCCCTGGGGGCTCTACTGGCCTAGCTGGCCCATGGGGACAGCTGTCACTGAGACACATTCCTTGGTAAAGGGTCGCCACTGGTCATCGGGAGAGAAATGCAAAAGAACCGGGCTACAGAGCTGCACACAATTAAATTAAGCACAGATGAATGAAGTATAAGCAGCACTGGGGCTGAGGGCAAAAGACACATGAGAGTGGCTTCTGGCCATCAGCGCCATCATCAGGGCTCTGTGGACAGTGGCAAGTGTGGCCCCACTTGTCAAGAAGATGGACAGGAAAGGTAAGTACACAGAATCACAGTTCCTCCAGCCTGACTTGGGGACCCATGCCAGGAAGGTACCTCCTGTGACACGGGGCTTCCAGGCTCCCTTCTGGAAGCAGATGGCCAGTGGTTCTTTATAAAAGGAGAAGTACAACAGGAAAGTGCTGTGGTGTGAGCCCAGTTTGCCCCACATCAGTTTCCCTCCAGAGCAAACTGGGGAAACCCGAACTGTGAACAGCTATCCTCGGGCGTGTGGGGGCTGTACCAGTTATAGCCAGAAAATGGAGAAATAAATCCTCAATGTCTGTGTCTTCTCAGGTCAGTGTGTTACTGCTGGGCCTATTTAAAATTAACCATGGAATGACTTTTATACAGATTAGCACATTTGCTCTTTCTAAAGAAAAATAAATAGGATCTCTGTGGCTAACATGCTTATTTAGTTTTATCTTCACGTGCAATTGTTTTTATAGACGTCTGTTGGGAGTAGCCTCTCGTGCTCAGAAGCTCTCATCTTAAAGTAGACTGTAGTATATTTGTATGATGCTTCAAGGGCCACAAATTCACGGATTGAGGTGTTTTTTATGACCCACTTTAGATAAATTCATGACAGCCAAGTGACCTGAGGTTCAAAAGTTAAACTTATCTGAACCAAAGTGTCATCTAAACTAGGGCTCATGGGTTAAATCTGGCCCTCTGCCTGTTTTTGTAAATAAAGTTTTATTGGAACACAGCCATGCCCATTCGTTTGAGTATTGGCTATGGTTGCTTCCACAATACAACAGCAGAGTTGAGCAGTTACAAGAGGCTGTAAGGTCCTTTACAGACAAGGTTTGCCAACCCTTTAGCCAAAGCTGTTCCCCAGACTAGCAGTATTGGCCTCACCTGGGAGCTTGTCAGAACTGCAAGAACTCAGACTCACCCATGGGGTGGGGTGGGGAGGGGTGATCTGTGCTTTCCCAAGGTCTCTAGGTGATTCTGATGCAAGCTAAAATATGAGAAACTGAAAAGTGCAAACACAGTCCCTGGGGAGTTAGTCAAAATGAAGCCACTGATTCCGTAAGTCCGGGGAGAAGCCCAGAGTCTTCATTGCTAACAAACTCCCAGGTGATACAGAACCAGACCTGGAGTAGCCAGGGTCTGGTTTTTTTTGTTTTTTGGTTTTTTTTGGAGTTGAAGTTGCATTCTGTTGCCCAGGCTGGAGTGCAGTGGCATGTTCATGGTCTCTGAAGCCTCGACTTGCTGGGCTCAGGTGATCCTTTTGCTTCAGCCTTTCAAGTAGCTGGAACCACAGGCATGCACCACCATTCCCAGTTAATTCTTTTTAGATTTAGAGACGAGGTATTGCCAAGGTGCCCAGGCAGGTCTTGAATCTCTGGACACAGACAATCCTCTCGCCTCTGCCTCCCAAAGTGCTGGGATTACAGGCATGAGCCACCGCACCTGGCCAGTCAGGTTTTTTTTTTTGTTTTTTTTTTTAACCATGGCATTGTCTAGCAGCAGGATTACCAATGGCACTTGCCAGAAAAGTTTTAAAATGGGCAGCTAGAGTGTCATGAGGAAAACAATTCAATTGCTTTTAAAAGTGCCCTGAGGGTGCAGTTCCTTAGGACTTACCTTCTTTAATATTTCTGTGTTCAGTAGCATGTAAATGTCGATAGTACGACTTTCTTCTTTAGCAAGAGCACTAAGGTTACAGTGCATTGTTAGGCAAGAAATTCCTGGTTGTTCACAGACCTGAGAAGAAAAATCAGAGAACTGTCCAATGGTATTAAGAACAAAGATAAGTTTTAGTTCTTTTAGGAATCGCCACACTGCTTTCCACAGAGGATCAGCAACTCCTCTCCTGGGAATATACCTGGAGGAATGTAAATCGTTCTACAGAAAAGACCCCTGTACCCACATGTTTATTGCCACACTGGTCCCAATAGCAAAAATATGGAACCAACTCTACTGCCCATCGAAAGGACTGGATAAAGAAAATGTGGCACATATATACGATGGAGTATTACACAGTCATAAAGAAGAGCAAAATCATGTGCTTTGCAGCAAATTGGATGGAGTTGGAGACCATCATACTAAGTGATCTATCACAGAAGCAAAGAACCGAATAACACATGTTCCCACTCATAAGTGGGCCTCGAACATTAGCCACATTAGCACAAGGGAGGGATCGGCAGTTGCTGGGCACTGCTAGGGGAGGGAGAGAGGAAGGTAGGGAGGGAGGGAAAGAGGGAGGAAGGGAAGCAGGCAGGTGACAACACAAAGGGTATCTGGTCCTATACCATGAGGGTCAGTTAGAAGCCCAAACTTTGCCCGCACACAGTCTATTTATGTAGTTAATCCTCACTTGTACCCCACATCTTTATAATAAAATAAAATGCTTTTTAAAAGAACAAAGGCAAACCCACAGCGATTTATAGAGCAGCGGGCTCAGTGAGCTTCTAATCTGGTGTCTAAGGCAATAACAGGCAGAGGAAATTCACAGAAAGATGCAATCATGCTTTTTGCCACCAGAGGGCAGTCAAGGAATTTCCCACCCAGTGGGCACCTGCGCACGCCCTCAAGCCAAGCTACTGGAAGAAAGCAGCTCATTGGTTTATCCTACCAAAAACTGGATTTCTCAAGGAGAAACAGTTGTTTTTTTAAAGAAACACATTTACATTCTACATCCTGAAAGCATTCTTATGAATTTTGAACATCGTATTTCCTACATTATGTAATTTCTTTTTATGTGTGTGTCGGAGTCTCAGTCTCTCGCCTAGGCTGGAGTGCAGTGGCATGCTCATGCTGGGATTCTAGGCGTGAGCCACCGTGCCTGGCTAACACAGTATCTTGAATTCAACCACTCCTCACAGTCTTCACTGCCACCGCCCTGATCTCAGCCATAACCAGTCTCCATCTGCCTCTGTGATCTACTCTCCCTCCTAGGCCCCCACTATCTATGTTTTACACCGTAGCCACACTGATCCTCTGAAAACACAGAGTAGATCATATGACTGCCTGGATTTTAATCTTCTATTGGCTTCTTATCACCCAGAAGAAAATCCAAAGTTCTAAGCTTGGCTTACAAGGCCCTGCCCAATCACAGCTGATCTCATTTCTCATTGGCTTCCCCTCTGCTAACTTCATCCTTCCATTGGCAACATTGCATTGCTGTCTCTCAACGGGCAGGTCAGTCTCCCTCAGGCTCTCTCTCTCTTTTTTTCTTTTTTGAGTTGGAGTCTCACTCCACCACCCAGGCTGGAGTGCAGTGGCACACTCAAGGTCACATCCCAGCCTTGACCTGCTGGGCTCCGGTGATCCTTCCGCCTCAATCTTCCAAGTAGCTGGAACTACAGATGCATGCCACCACACCCGGCTAATTTTTTTTTGATTTACTGTAGAGACAAGGTCTCACCAAATTGTCCAGGCTGGTCTCAAACCCCCAGGCTTAGGCAATCCTCTCACCTCGGCTTCCCAAAGTGCTGGGATTACAGGCTGAGCCACCGTGCCCAGCCCATTATGTAATTTCTGCTCATGCAGTGGCAAATACACTTTCATGCCCACGTTTTAGGTGAGGTAAATTCAAGGGCTAAGAAGTCATGTGACTCTTGCTCAAGAAAACACGTAAGTTACAACAGACATGTAAACTTCAAATTTAACTTACAAAAGAGAGATTTTTTTTCTTTTGTAAAATAGGATCCCAAAAGTATGCACATGCTCGTATGATGTTTTATGTGTGGGGTAAAATTTTCAGTCAGACACAGAGTCATAACTACCAAACAGCCAGGTATCACTACATCTAACACTTCTAAAGTCTTTAAAAAATAGATGTATCATCCTCACTATATCAGTGAAAAAGTCCCAACCGTTCCTGGGGCGATCGGTTGCACTTGTCTATGGAGGAGGAAGAGTGTGAGGAAGGAAATGATAAATGTGAAATGTGCCTGGGCTCAATCAGGGAGCTAAAGAAATGTAATCAAAGCTACAGGGAAAGAAGGCTTTGGAAAAGCATGATGACTCCATTTTCAATACTTTCACTTAAAAAAAAATCTGAAGTGTAACAAATACAGTAAATAGAACGAATGTTAAGTGTATGTCTTTATACACTTTTATCTGTTTCTATCTGGAGAACTACCACCTTGATTAAGACATAGGATGTTTCCCACAACTAAGAAGGCTCCCTCACACTCCATCCTATCATCATTCCTCCAGAAGTAACTACTACTCTGACCTACATCACCATCGATTAGCGTTGGCTATTTCTGAACTTCATAAGTGAAATCTTACAACATGTAACCTTTTGTCTCTAGCTTCTTTCACTCAACATTATGTCTGTACGATTCATTCACATTGTTGTATAGCAGTAGTTTATGATTTTTCATTACTGTGTAATATTCCAGTGCATAGATACACCATAATTTTTTACTCAGTTTCCTGTTGATAGATACGTAGATTGTTTCAAGCTTTTGGCTATTACAAGATTGCTATGAACCTTCTTGTCTATGTCTTTTGGGGGACACAAGCACTCATTTTTCTTGGAGATACAACCAAGAGTGGAATGGTTGGATCATAAGGTACATACATGCTTTGTTTTAATGGATAATGCCAATCAGTTTTCTTTTCTTTTTTAATTTTTATTTTAAAGATGTGGGGTACAATTCAGGGTTAGGTATACAAATGCAACCAGTTTTCTAAAGTGCTTGTACAAAAACCATCACTCTTGTTTAGACTCATACTAGTTGGAGAAATATTTTACTTTGTGCTTGGTGGGCTGCAAAATTTTTCCCTTAGAATTTGGAATGTACATTTAACACTGACTAAAACTAGGAGTTCACTATGGTCTTTGGGCCTCCATAAGTGAATTGATTAAAACCAGACTTGGGAAATAATAAATATCAAATAGAAAACTGGTCTTTAACCTCAAACTTGCCTCCCTAGTGACCCCAGCCACCAAACAAATCCTTACCAAGACTTTTCTTCCAGACTTCGTGAAAAAAGCAAATATTGTATGGAAGATATTTTCTTGTTCTTGAGGGATGATGCAAGGGGTTGGGTTTTTCTGGAAAGAGCAGTTTCCCTTCTCTTGGCCCACCTGAAAATGAAAAGACGCCCGTCAGTGTGGTCAGTTCCAAGATGAGCTCACAATCCTGGAGTCCCTCACTGCAGAGGCAGCAGCGGGAGAGCCCGTATTCACCCTTCCCCTCTCGTCCATGCTCCAGTGGACTACAGTGGCCGAAAAACTGAGAGGCACAGTCGTAGCATCACGAGGGCCAAATCACAGAAAACGTGGATCTGAAGTCCTTAAATAATTAGATGAGATGGCACATGATATGCAAATGAGATGTGACTAGGAAATAGTAAGACTTAACAAAATAAACCTTACACTCCATGGTTTCCAAAGCACATTTACAAACATCCTTACAGAAATTCTTGTCTGGGTTTTAAAAAAAATGAGTCAAGTTAAGTCACCTGCCAACAGTCACAGAGTTGGGAACCTGGGTCTTGAACTCGGGTCTTCTGAGACCAAGCCTTATGGATGATCTACTGCCTGAGGTTTTCACACCATCCCATGGGGGCCCCAGGGTGTTGTAAACCCCTTAGGAGTCCTAGACAGAGAAGGGGCAGCAGGCAGGACTGCTCTGGGTTCAACTAGAACACCAGGGTTCTGCTACCAAAAACATAGCTGAACCACCACCGCACTGAGCCAGACAGTAACTGACATGCCCAGTGAACTCTTGGCGAGTTTTCTGATTTTGCTTCTGACAGCTAGGACGCTGGTGCTGAGCAACAGCTACATCAAAAGCAAAACAAACCCAAGGAACAGGATGTAGCCTTTCAAGTTGATGTCCTTAAGAACAACACTCGTTTTGATGCCTAAATTGAGGAACTGTTGAGAAAAACAATTTTTATATATTGTCATATCACACTGATTGTAGCTGAAGACTGGACAGGATGTGAGGCTAGACCAGAAAATTAATAATTAGTAATTCATAATTGAGGATCGTGTTTATAATCCCATTGCTAACCAGAAGCATCTGTTTAAACTCCCCTATCTTTAATGCCTTTGAGTAAAATATAGTGTGTGTTTGAATTTATTCAAGAATGTTTCAACTTTTTATTTGTGGTAGGGAGCAAGGTTTAGAGTTGCTATTCTTTTAATAATGAACTGTAAAACAAGACCACCAAATTTGCTAAATTAATCTCTATTTTATCTTTGATCTGAACACATTCCAGGATTTACTATATATGTCTGAAAATAAATAAGTGAAGGTTTATTTCTGCAAGTTAACTACGAGAAAAGAGAATGTTGCCTTTAAGAGTTTCTCACGGTTTGGGACTCTCTCTAAAATACTTTGAGCCACAGAATTCGGGGAAGGCATATTAGCCTGAAATGGTCTCAATCAACATTGGTTTTGGATGATTTTAGAGGTCACTAGAGGGAAGGAATGGCAAAGAGGCAAAGGGCTTTAACACAGATTTGGTGATTATTCCTTTGGCGCAATTGTTGAAAGTTGTGATAAATATTTGAAAGCTCATTTTAGAAAGCAATATTGGCCAGGCCCAGGGGTTCATGCCTGTAATCTTGGTGATTTGGGAGGCTGAGGCAGGAGGATCGTTTTAGGCCAGGGATTTGAAACCAGCCTGGACCATGTCGTGAGACCCCATCTCTACACAAAATAAAATATATATCTGTGCATGGCAGTACATGCCTGTAGTCCTAGCTACTTGGGAAGCTGAGGTGAGGGATTGCTTCAGCCCAGGGATTGGAGGTTACAGTGAGCTAGCAAGAACTCGTCTCTAAAAAAGAAAAATTTTAAACATTTAAAATAGAAAGCAATACATAAGTTGCGTATGTGGTGAGGAGCATGAATATTCACTTGTAAGACAAATGAGAAAAACAGCTGCTACTCTGTTAGGCAAATAGGTATTTGTGTGCTGCAATAAAATTTCAGCATCAAACATAGATTTAAGAAGTTCTGCATTTCAAATAAATTCGACAAACTGAAGATAATAAATTCTGGAAAACTGTTGACTCAAAAAGTACCTCAGGATTGAAATACGCTGATCTCAAAAGATACACCATTTGAACAAGATTATTATGTGGAATGTGAGAACGAAAAGAGTAATATTATAAATATCATTATCCTTATATGATTTTAAGTATGCAACTACATGATTAAGTTAAATATTATAAGTAGATACTTGATTATTTCATTCACTTCCCTTTTTTTTTAAACTGAGATAAAGTTTACATTCACTAAAATGCACAGATCTTAAGGGTGCAGTCTGATGAATTTTGGCAAATGAAATCACCTGTGTCCACTACTCCAAAAAGTTCCCTTAGTCCTTTTCCAGTCAACCTCCCCTCAACTCAAGGTAACCACAGTTCTGATTCCTATTAAGTTGGCAAAAAATAAAAAGTTAACTTTACCCCGTTAGGGAAGTGGAGGACATGCTACTTGGGCCTTCCCTATATTTAGGCATTTATGGTACATGGATGGAAAACATTTGCCTGCATTGGGCGGTTGAGCATTTGCAAACGTGTACTTATGCTCTTAATACCCATCATGTTTTACTCTGAAGCACACGGGTCTCTGTGTTCCCTGTTTGTCTTCTGGAGTGGCCATTTGCTGATGACCACTAGGAAACGGCTTTCTGCAGCCCCGTGGCCCACACGTTCCCGTTAAGATTGCCAGGCCTGGCCCCCAAACACATTTGGGCTGGGTTTAGACAAACACAACCTCTAAGTCTTGCAGGATGCATCCATCCCTAATTACAATCAGGGGTGGGGACAGAGTCCCTCTTTGCTCTGCAAATTGGCGCCTCAGGTTTCTAGGCAAGGAGAGGAAGCTTGGGGAGAGCCCCAGCCCAGCCAGCTTCGCTAATGCACTAGGGTGTGAGGAGCTGGTGTTGTCATCAGCCACAGGACGGCCCCACGGAGACAGGGAAGGGGCTGAGGATGGTGGGGCGAGGGGGTGCGAAACAACCTGGAGGGGCAGAGTCCTGGCTCAGAACTTGGTTTTCCTCTTCCACTGGGAGTTTCTGGGGTGGCCTGTGAGCAGAGTGATGACGATAATGGGATGGGATGTGACACTTAATCTGCCCCCAGTGGAATCTGGAGAAGGGAAGTGGAGACTGAGTCTGTGGTGAATGAAAATCTTGGCCAGTTGCGCTCCTGACTGCGGTTGCATGGGAATCACTTCAATCGGGGAAAGCAACGTTTTTCTGGTTCAGGGTGGTCCCCTTTCGAAGGGAGACTGAAGGTGGCTTGGTGTTGCATGAGTCTGACTCAGACCAGCCAATCCAATCCTGCCATGGACGTTCCCTCAGCTAAAATGCAGCAACTCAGTGCCTAGCCAAGGTCATCAAAGAGAGGGGCTCTTTGTGTGTCGGACATGTACGTATGTGGCAGCCATGGTAATACTGCCTAACACAGGCACAGCCCTTACTACCGGCCAGGCTCTCATATGCTTTTTACATATTAGCAGTTTAGCTCTTACAGTGGCCCCTGAGGTGGGTGCTATTCCTAGCCCCATTTTATAGATGGAGAAACTGAGAGGCAAGGGGAGGTCAGATGATCACCAGAGGACCCCCAGCTAGCAGGCCACAGAGATCTGCATGTAACCACTTTCCTGTACTGCCTCTTAGAGGGAGGCTGAGGATGGGGCGGGGGTAGGGGTCACAGAGGAGCAGAGGAGAAGGGAAAGCCTCCCTTCCTGTTCTCAACCTGGTTAAAGGGAAGGAGGAACCACTGGCCTAGAAGCCTGGCAATCCAGAGTCCTCTGAAATGGCCTGACCCAATTCTGCCTCTCTGGCAAAAAAACGACCCCTGCCCAGACCATGGGAGAGAAAAGTGCCTGCTGGCTGGGAGGTCGGGCTGTTCTGAACTGTCTCTTGGGCTGGAAGGGGAACAGAGCAGCCAGGAATGTTGTTTCTGGAAAGCAGCTCTGAGATCATGTGGTCCTGTGGCCTCGGCTGACAGATAAGGAACCAGAGGGCCCCCGAGTTCAGAGACTTGTCCAAGGTCATGAGTTTGGTTGTTGGCAGCATCCGGTACCCAGTGAAGGAATTCTGTGGCACGGATGCTCTTGCTGAATGAACACTCACAGTCCCCGGCTTTACCCCTAGCTCTGCCCCCTCACAGCGGTGCCAATTTGGATCTCTAGGGTCTCAGTTTCCTCATTGATAAAATGGGGACACTGGCCAACATGAACACTAAGATTGTCCTCAGTTGCAAATTCCATACTTCACGGACTATTGGTACATTTTCATTAGGGCACAGAGACATCTAATCTCATTATATAGATAAATGATGACTGACACCTCCACAACTTGGTTTCTTTGCTCCAAGGCAAGGGGAAGTCACATCCATGTGTAGGGGCCAACCCAAGCACCACCCAGCTGAGGTCCAACGGCACCATTTCCTAGGCTGGCTGAGGACTCTGTGGCCACTGGCCCCTGCTCATCTCTTCCCACTCACTCCTTATTTATGTCCCAGACCATCTGAGGCTAAATACTTCTCATGACATGGTTGCTCATCTCCCAGGACCTCTGGGAGCTGGAAGAGGTCCATGGCTGTTGGAATTTGAACTCAAACAAAAGGACTTCACCAGGCACTCAAACAGGAACAAGAGGGTCCAGGACACAGTGGCAAGGTTGAATTCTGCCAAGGCAGCTATTGAGGGTTTTCTGTTGGCATCTGTCCTCCCCTCAACTCCGGCCTCCAACAAAGCATTGGGCAAGTTGAAACCATGATGGTGGTGATTTGGGAAGTTGTCAGAAACCCTGGCGGTGGGAGCCCAAGGAGAGGACACCACTTGGTGGTAGAGTCTGGGTCAGCCTTGGCCAAAGGAGCCTTTGTGGTCAGAAGCTGCCGTAGTCTCGGGCCTGTCAGAGGATGAAGAGCCCCCATTCACTCTAGGTGGTAAGACCTCACTTCACGAAATATTGGGTTTGAAGCATGAATCAGAGCTGGCTCCATAAGTATGATACTGAAAAAGAGAGTCGACCCTCTGTTTAAAATGTCATCATCCTGTCACCAGGTGGAAAGGGAAGTCTAGAGTTTTTATGAACGACATTCCAGGCAGAGAT